TGTGTCTCCTGGGTGCGTGTACGCGATGGGTGTCTGTAGCCCAATCCTGGAGGTACGGGAGAGAAGCATAGTCATATCATACGTCATATTCATTGCACTCAAGAGACCAGGCCCCTTCTGCACTTACGCTGGAGCTGGTGGAGCCAACGTCGGGAACAACGGGTAAGAATTCTCGAGCTGCAACGGCAGTAGTTGAGTTCTCAAATTCGCACGTTTTCCGAGGGCACGTAGTGTGGTGGCGCGTGAGAGGAGGACGGTGGCGGCGATGGGGGCGGCGGCGGCGAGGGCGGCGGGGGCGAGGGCGGCGGTGGTGGCGAGGGCGGTGGCGGCGAGGGGGGTGGTGGCGGCGAGGGCGGTGGTGGAGACGGAGGCGGCGAGAAGTGGACGAAGCCGTCCAGGTCGGTGCCCACGCCCCCGTATGGCACAGATACAACTGTGGGAGTTTCGCCCATCGTCTGCACGAGCCCAGGCGGCAGCGTGGACGTGTCAATGGTGACGGTCCACTCGCCGGGAAGGACCTCCTGAGCGTAGTTGCCGTCGGCGTTTGTGGTGACGGTGTACGTGACGTCTCCCTTGGTGATGATGACGGTCACGCCTTCGAGGCCCTCGTCGTCGATGTCGGGATCGTAGTATCCAATGACGCCCGCGTCCATGAAGATCGTGCCGCTCAGAGACGAGGGCTGCGTGAAGCCGTCTAGGTCCCTCCCCACCCCGCCGGGTGGCACCTCGACGATTGTGGACTCGGCGCCGAAAGTCTGCCTCATGTTCAGCAGAGCGAAGGACCGTTTATCGATGACCACAGTCCACTCGCCCGCCGACGGCAGCTCCTGGCTGTAGAAGCCGTTCGCGTCGGTGACGACGGTGTAAGTGACTTGTCCGTTGGTGATGAAGACGGTCACGCCTTCGAGGTACTCGTCGAGGCCTTCCGTGAACTGCTGGTCGCTGTCTTTGTTCTCGAAGACGTAGCCCTCGATCCTTGGCGGCGGTGGCGAGGGAGGCGGCGGCGGCGGCGGCGGCGGTGAGGGCGGCGGGGGCGAGGGCGGTGGAGGTGGCAAGGGTGGAGGTGGCGAGGGAGGCGGGGGGGGTGGGGGGGATGGTGGCGGAGGCGGCGGCGGGAGTGGCGGCGGCGGTGGAAAGGGTGGTGGCGGCGAGGGCGGTGGTGCGTTCACTACGACTCCGACAGTGGATCCTTGGCCGCCACCTCGTAGGCCCGGGTGGCAGCGCGAGTCTATCACTTCCAGGTCGTCTCTGCCGCTCTTCGCAAAGGCGTAAAAGAAGCCATTGGTCTCCACTGGCGTCGAGCTGAAATCACCTGGATAATCTCTCGCTATCCCCACGACTTGCCCTAGGCATGTCAGACCAGTGGTAGAAAGCGAAACTGCATTGGTCAGTTTGATAGTTCCGCACGCAAAGGACGGCGCGTCGCAGGGAGAGCTTGTTTCACTGCTTGCGTCATAGATCTCAAAGCTGGCGGACGGTGCATTTGCATTCTGCCGGAAATCCGTGAACTCGACCACATCACCGTAGCTGAAGCGGCCATCGCGGGGAATAAAAACTTGAATCTCCGAATCTGCGACAAGGACAGCATCCATTTTTGGCACCTCGTACTCCTCGTTTTGGTCGTGAAGAAGCTGGTAATTCTGTATTGCTCGGTTCTCCGCGCAGATCTCAATGGTGAACGACCCGCCAATTTTGATGCGGTTTGGGTCGCAAACTCGAGATCCCCCGAGGTCTACCGTCCCACAAATCTGCGGCAGCAAGGCCATTGCCGCAGAACAGGTGCCAGGGTCCGTCATAGCAAGCTTAGGCACGAACTCACCTGCACGGCATGCGAGCAAATGCTCGGCTTTGCCCTATGATTTGGCGGCCAAATGATCTCGCGGGATTCCCGACGGCGGCCAATTTTGCCGTCTTTGACGATGATGAGATAGCCTGGGATGATGAGGCCACCTTGTAGCGCACGCAGTAGTACGAGGCCAGCACCAGTGTAAAGACTGGATGGATAGTGAGCAAGCGCTCGAAAGCGGCTGGCTAAAGACAGACAGAGGATAGCGTTCGCCAGACTCATTCATCAATCAACAGAGAGAGATACAGCAATTGATTGGCCACGCCGTTCGCCAAGCCTGCTTTCGAATTGGCCACGCTTTGCAACGTCGCGACGAGGGCATGCCCTCGTCGTCGGCAAGCTCTGCCCCTTCCTCACGCCTTTCTGGCCATGTACCCACGTAGTGCGATTCCGATTTATCGACCGTACGCATATCTAGGTAGTTTGGGGAGATGAGGCGCCAGGCATGTCAGACGAGACCCTGCAATGCATAGCTGCGGTCGCGTTCATACCTCAGATTTGCCGTGACGGAGCCTGCAACCCAAACAAAATAGCTATTGGTACTCGGTTTACCATAGACGTGTGTGCAGAGAATCGGGCAGTCCTCCCGTTCGCAGGGCTCGACTCGAATGGGCAAGGGTTGTCGGCGCACATAGTCGAGAGCTCCTTGATTGAGAGCGCCAGAATACAGGTCTCTATTCCACGCGGGTCGTCGTTGGCATCCGGGGCGGGAGTAATTCAACTCCAGGAGTTCGTCCCCTCCCCTGAAGCGTCCAGTGCAACCTTCCTACTCGAGGTAAATGGCTGCATCGACACCTTTGCATGTGGGCAGATCCTCCTGAATAGAGCGGTCCCGCTGAGCGTTACCGGAGGCAGCACATGCCTGGGTACAATCACAGGCATCGTGGTCGATGACCCTCAAAGCAACGGCTTTTTTCGCGTCGATGCCGCAAGTCAGCCAGCGGATTTAATGGTCACAGACGCACGTTGCACTCCAGGCATTTATGGCGGAGGGCAGGGCTCAACCGTCGGCGTTGTCATTCTTCCACCTCCACCGATGCCGCCGCTGCCCTCGGTGCCGCCACCGCCGCCATTGCCGCCGCCACCGTCGCAGCCGCCGCCCCCTTCACCGCCGCCACCACAACCCTCGCCGCCACCGCCGTCGCCCCCCTCACCACCGCCCCCCTCGCCACCACCACCGCCCCCGTCACCGAAAACAATCTTCATGTTCGCAGGATTTTCCCCCCGGCGGGCCTCACC